GAAGGCAGTTGACGCAGCTGCCACCAAGAACCTAAAGTAAAATACAATAATATGACAGGAAAAATATGTACTTATTATTTCAAGAAGAAACAAAAATAAAATAAACAAGAAATAAACTCAAAACAAATACAGTAAAAACAAATACAATAAAAATAAAACTGCACTATTAAAAACATAAACAAACATACACAAAGAATACTGGGAAGACGGGACACTACGAGCGTAGCTCTCATCCTGCAACTACACTTAAGTAATTACCCTCTCCTAATTAACCCTTAAACTGTGCAACACGATATGACGTGTTGAGTAACATACCCAAAAGTGCGCATTACGTCATATGACGTGTTGGAGTACTACGCAAGTTTTAAATGGCCCGCAGATACACAGGGTTCACCTCACCTTCATCAGGGCTCTTGTAAACAGACGCTATTTAAAAAAAAATTGTGGGCAACATTCCCGGGTGTGAGGGCCTCGGTACTGAGTGAGCCACCAAGGCTGGCACACACAGCATGAGCTCACAGCACTGCTGTTCAGCTTGTGACCACAGCATTGCCTAAAAATGTCAAAATATATATGTACATGCTATTATTTAGAGATGATAATACAGTATTACAGAAGACCCCTGACTGTGATAAAAATGACCAGGATTCTGATAATAGCAGGATTGTTGTGATAATTTGCACTGTGCTGTGGGAGGAGTAATGTTGAGGGTGGGAGGGCTGTAGCGTAGTCTGCCGAATCTGTAGCATTGTCTGCTGACTGTGTGACCACCTTTTACTGTCTGGACTCACTATACCAGTGTAGTGGTTCGCTATGGTGAAAAAAAACATGCAGATACTTATACTTTATATAACATCTGTATATAGTGAATAAAAGCAAAAACAGTATGGTGGGAGGAGAACAATTGGCGAGTCAGGTGAGGTGAGGGAGGGAGTGGTGACCCGGGGCTTTTTTATTTATTATTATTATTATTTTCTACCACAGACATGGCCACACATTAGCGGCCAGGGGCTAGCTGCCTGGTGTGCTAGCCACTCCTTGCTACCTTTTGACTCAGCATACCAACTTAGTGGTTCGTTATGGCGAACACAAATGTAGATACTTATATATAACATGTATATATAGTGTAATAACAGCAAAAGGAGAGTTGGGAGAGGCCATTTTGGTGAGGGAGGTGGCGACATCTGCATGACTTGTCATGCTGAATAAGTGTGGCCACTATGCTCTTTGTGCACTATGCCAGCTTAGATGAACAGTTATGGTGAACAAAACATGTAGATACTTATATATAATGTCTGTATGTAGTGAATAATAGCAAAAAACAGTATGGTGGGAGGAGGATGTTTGGCAAGTGAGGAGTTTTTGAGGGAGGGAGTGGCAGAGAGAGGCTGACTGGCTGGTGTGTGCTGGCCACTTCTCATTGCTTTTTGACTCACAATATCAACTTAGTGGTTCGTTATGGTGAACAAAACATGCAGATATTTATATATAATCTGTGTACATAGTGTAATAACCGACAAAATTAGTGTTTGGAAAACATATAAGCTATAATTTAGTGATTTGATGTAAAGATTGTGCGGTGACTAGTCAACGGTGAAAGAACAGAGAAATGGAATATACCAGTAAGCTATGAAAGAATGGAGGATTAAGCCTATGACATGGCACAATTATGTTGCTTTGAGGAAATTATGCCAGAGACTTCCTGCTGCATGTTAGAAAATTTAATGCCAGATGAAATTACAGGCATATTCAACCCTTCCCTTATTAAATGTTAAGCAACAAAAAATCTATGGAAATTGAAGATGACCATACCTGTGAGCATGGACTATGGTTCCACCCGCAGTAGTGTTGCTCCCAGCTACCAGCACCAGGTCAGTGAAGGCGGCACAGGTGAGAAGACCATGGAGATCTTCACGCAGGGTGCTCACCACTGTTGACGGCTCCTGGACCTTGGGCTTGGGCGGGCAGAAAGGCACCTGAAATTTAAATGTGTTTTACTTTATTATATTATGAATAAAATAATATTCATGGTTTGTTTTCCCATCAAGGTTACACTAAGGTTACACCCACCCCCCAAGGCCAAATATTGACCTTCATCACGATGCAACCCACTACAGTTACCTAAATCCTAAGTACCTATTTACTTCAAGAGGAACAGGTGACAGGAAACATGCCTAATTTTCTATTCCCTACCCAGTGATTGAAGTCGAGACCTTTTGGCTGTGAGCGGGCTACATAGACCACCCTGCTAAAGACATTATATTTTTACATTAAATGTCCTGTCTCCCACTTTCATGGCACTGAAAGGCATCAGCCAAAAAGAAATAAAGAAAGTAATATAGAAAATACTGAAAATGACACCCCATACATTCATCCTAGCTGCCACCCTACATACTGCACCATCACATCCATTCATTATATCCTTCACCCTACATACTACACCATCACATCCATTCATTATATCTGTCACCCTGCATACTGCACCATCACATCCATTCATTATATCCTTTACCCTACATACTGCACCATCACATCCATTCAACAGATTCTCCACACTACATACTGCACCACCTCTAAAAAAAACAGCGTTGAATGTAATGAAACATCATTTTCTGGGTGAGTCCTGGAGGCTCCCTGGAGCTATCCAGGCTGAGTGGATATGTATATCTTTCTGGCATCAGTCAATGCATGGAGTTCTTGCCTACCAGGGACCTCGAGCCAGAACCTGGCCCCCTTAAGAGAGGCATGAGGAGCAATGGCCTATAGAGACCCCCTTGTGGTTGGGAGCATTCTATGTCTGCCATCGACCGGGACAGGCACCCAGAAAGGTAGGCGCCCCAAAACAATCCCCTATTCTGGTAAAATTATTGCGACCAAAGTCCGAACAGGTGGACAGAACTCCCCAAACGAAAATTAGCAAACTAGCATGACGTCATCATGTCACCGCGGCGCTGTCTGCGCAACCCCCACTTTCCCGGGAGGGGTAAGAGGGAGCCCCAGACCCATCCGCCGGCGACCCAACCCACAGTTCTCAGGCTGGATGTAAAAAAGTGCAAAAAACACAGTCAACCAGAGGGAGGGAGGGATGCTGGGGAGTCTCCGGGACTCACCAGAAAATGGCATTTCATTATATTCAACGCTGGTTTCCTGGGAGGAGCCCAGGAAATTCCAAGGAGCCTTCCTTGGAATCCCAATTGGATTCCAAGGAAGAAGCAAGCACCGCCTGCCGACACGCTAGTCGAGATGCACAGAACCGCGAAACCGCATCACGCAGGAGTGGCGCTAAAAGCTTCAACAAAGCAGACGACGCCTGCACAGCAGAGGGCAGCACCCCAGACCTGGCAGCGGCCCCAAGCTCCCCCACATCCAACTCAAGCCAATCTGAGGACAGCTCAAGGAGGGAAAAGAAACGCAGGGCCGAAGCAAGCAGGCCACGAGTAAGCAAATCCTCCGCAACCAAGGCAGTTGAAAGGGAAGGGAGCTGCACGTGAACCTGCTCAACACCAACATCCTGCAGAAGGGCAGGGGGGCGAACAAACAAACATTGAGGTGCTCGAAGTCGCCCCCCAGGAAAACCTGAAACGCCGCCTGAGTCTCCCGCCAGTCAAGTGCGCGGGACCGACAGAACGTGTGTCAAGCTTCCAATGAAAAGAGGGGAAAGTCTGCCAACCAGGATGACTCCGGAACTTCGTAACGAACCCAGTACAAACTGGACGAACCGTAAACGAAGGAACGCAGATCCATTACGAATGCATAATCTGGGTCACCCAGGAGGTACGCCGCAAGGGCTTCCCGCACCACAGAAGATGAAATGCGGGAAGCCAAAAACCTCTGGAAAGTTGGAACCGAGGAATCTACAGGATCACGGAACCGAACACAGGGAGGGGGTAGACACCAAATACAATTTGTACGCGAAGGGAGCGAAAGAGAACCCCCTCTCCTCGTAACACTAAGTCCCTCTCCGAGGCAAGAACTCCATGCATTGACTGATGTCGGAAAGATATACATATCCATTCAGCCTGGATAACACTGGGAAGCCAACAGGGCTCCCTCCCAGAAGACATATTATTGCTAAACATCACAGGTGACTAGAGAGAGATGTTACTAAATGTTCTACAGTATGCATCTCTATAAACCCTTTAATTCCACCCCAGGAGACACTTGACATCTTCAGGCTGAAAACTAGGAGTCTTCCCAAATTATTATTTTGAGAGACGGAAGAGTTCAGTAATCTTTTTATGAGAGGTACACCAGAATTTAACTCTCTGCAGTCCAGCTCAGCACTAGAGGGGCTGAACAAAGCTCATGGCCAAATTTAAAGATTGGACAGTGGTACCTCGGTTTACGAATGCCCCTCTTTACGAACTTTTCGGGTTACGAGCCCGATTTCTTCAGAAAATTTGAATCGGGTTACAAACTTTACCTCGGGATACGAGTTTGTTGATACGCGTATGGCCGACCTAGCGCGTGGTGGCACGGCGATCGCGCCTCAGTTTACCAGTGCCTCCCGCCTAGTGACTATCCCGCCTGAATTCTTTGCAAGGATTTACAGTTTTTTTTTTTAGATTTTTGGCTATTTGAACATAAAATTTGTTATTATATATCTCGCCATGGGTCCCAAGAAAGCCAGTGGTAAGGTTCAAGGCAAGAAAACACATGTGAGAATGACCATAGAGGAAAAACAAGAGATCATTCGTAAACATGAAAATGGTACACGTGTTGTTGAACTAGCTAGGCAGTACAACAAATCTTCAGGGGAGGAGGAGGAGGCAGTAGAGGATGTCCCTTCCTCATTAATTAAGAAAATGTGTGCAGTATGGGAAGAACTGCAAAGTTTTGCTGAAAAGAATCACCCAGATAAAGCTTTAGCAGGCCGTTGCATTGATCTTATTAATGACAATGTGATGTCTCACTACAGACAAGTGTTACAAAGAAGGGAAAAACAATCTTCAATGGAACGATTTCTAGTGAGAAAATCAAGCAGTGAGCCAGAAGCAGGTCCTAGTGGTATGCAGGCAAAACGTGCCAGAGTGTGTACCCCAGAGAAGTCATCACTGCCTGATGTTATAATGGAAGGGGACTCCCCTTCCAAACAGTAACACCTCTCCTCCTCCCCCCTCCTCACCGTCTTCCATACGCCAACAGGAGTCATCAGTAAAGGTAAGTAATAACTTGTACATACTTTTGTAGTGAAGATTTGGGTGAATTAGGTATAAAATTTACTTTGAAGTTAATTTTTTGGGGAGTCAGGAACGGATTAATTCATTTCCCATTATTTCTTATGGGGAAATTCGCTTCGGTTTACGAATTTTCGGGTTACGAACCGTCTCCAGGAACGGATTAAATTCGTAAACTGAGGTACCCCTTCGTAAACCGAGGTGCCCCTTTCAGCAACTCACCTAACTAGAGGTGAACGGTCTTGACAGTAACTGAGGTACTGTTCATCTTTACAGATATATCTGAGGTCATTTTTACAGCCCACAAGAAGAATTGGTGTATTAGGGCAAAACCGCCGAATCTCCGGGTACCACATCACCCGGCAATTCCGTAGCGACACTGGATTTGCCACCGAGAAACAAAGCAGCACCACATCGGACCTGCAATTAAATTACATACCAAGTATTAGGCATTAGGTGTAGCTTGGACTGCACTACATATGAATGAGTCTTAGGTACAAACCAGACAGATGATTATTAATACTGTGCATATAGTTACAGACAACAAAATATATTAAGTTACAGTAAAGAGTGGGAGGTAATTTGTGAGATAAAATTGCAAAGTAGTAAATAGGTACACAGGAGTTAGCCAACTGTTGTGGGCTGCATTCTCAGAAATGTCAGTTATTGGCCTAGGGCAAGGGTGGGAAATGTTTAGAAGTGTGCATGCCAAACTTGCTATATCTATGATGCAAAATGTTCTCATGTGCCCACCAAAAATTTTGGGAACATATTTTTTTGCATGTCTTTTAAGTATTGGGAGAAAGTTTTCAAATACTGTAATACAAAATCATAAGGAATCAGGCTTGGTGAATGATACAACAACTGAACAGGACAAAACTTGCATGTCAGTATATTGTGTAGATGACCTGGAATTAGGATATTCATTTCATTTTCTTACTGCAGTATTTATTGTTACCAAAACAGTTTTTATTTGGTATCTCTCTACTTAATAAATAATTTTCTGGAGGGAGCCCCGTCGGCTCCCTGGAGCTATCCAGGCTGAATGGATATGTATAACTTTCTGGCATCAGTCAAAGTGCTTGGAATTCATGCCTACCGGGGACCACGAGCCAGACCCTGTCTCCTTCCGAGAGGCACGAGGAACAATGGAATATAGAACCCCCCTGTGGTTGGGAGCATTTTATGTCTGCCATCGACCGGGATAGGCACCCAGTTAGGTAGGCGCCCCAAAACAAACCCCTATTCTGTTAAAAATATTGCTACCGAAAGCTGAACGAGTGGACAGAACTCCTCAAACAAAATTATCAAACTACCATGACGTCATAACGTCGCCGTCTGCGCAACCCCCCTCCACCCCGGGAGGGGGAAGGGGGAGCTCCAGACCCTCCATGCCGCGATCCAACCGCCAGTTCTTGGCTGATGTGATTACTGGCCAGTCGGATGCCTCTGGCTACGGTTTTGTTTCAGTTCTGTGCCTTGTGATGTGGGCTGTCTCTACAAGTGGTGTGTGAGCCAGGAGACATTCCATGGTACTCGGGCTGCATGCGCCTAGGGCTCTCTTCCCTAGGTGCCCTGTAAGTACTGCCCTTGGGGCTTGGGGCCACCTTCCACAAGTCACCTTGGGATCTACCTCTGCTGTGTCATTTACTGCGTGGTACTTGGCTGCCCTTGGAGTCAGCTAGGGTTTTGTTGCCCTTGTTTGTTTCTGGGTAGGAGGTAGTTTTCATCACTGGTAGGGGTGCGGGGTACTGCACAGCTAGTTTTCACCAATAGCAGCGGCCGGCTCTGTTCCGCCTGGGTACGTTGTCCTCTTGCGGGGCTTTTCTTCTGTTTTTGTTTTTTGCCTGGTGGGGGGGAAGTCTGCCTTTGTGGTCCCCCCCCCCTTTGCTGTTCTAGTGATGTTTATATATATTTTCTGTTTTGGTGGTACTCCTCGCTTGGCCCCTGTGAGTGGACATGTCCTGGGGGTTCAGCTTTCAGAAGTTTGTTTGGTAGACTTGGGTGCCAGTTCGCGGTACCCTTTCTGGGCTTCCCTTGGTGTGTAACTAAAGCTGAGGGCCCTGGGAAACCCCATGGGGGTTATGTGGTCCGATGGATGTGACCCCTGAGTCCCCTCCTCGCGTCTTGCGAGTTTGAAGGTTACTCTGTCCCCTTGTCTCAGTGGTGACGCTCACCGGTTGTGCCTCCGTCATGTTGCCTGTTGTGTCGGTGATTCTTTTGACCTGGAGTTTTGTGACGTGTTTTGTCTGTACGTACTGTACTCCCATTCACCCTAGTCACTGATCATGATATGCGAGTGCAGGCAGCTGCGGTGTTGCATGCTAGGTTTAGGCTGCTGCAACGTGTTAGATTGGTTGTGGCCCCGGATGCCTCGGGACTGCCTCGTTTTGGTTATAGGGGGTCCGGACTTAGGGGTGGGAGTGGCTTCAGCTCTGGTTCTGTCTGCTCCTCCTTGTCCTTCCCTTTCTGTTGTGCATACTTCCTTTCCCTTGCTTCCGGCTCCAAACCATCAGTGGGTTTCAGGGTTGGGGCAGGGTCTGGTTGCGTTGAGACTCGGGCGGTCACGGGGGTTTTCTTCTTCCGAGGTAGTGGCGGAGGCATTCGAGCCTGTTCCTCCAGCCGACCCGTATGGGTCTGACAAGTGGGCTCCCTTCCTTAGTGTTTTGTATGGCTGCCCTGGCTTTTACTTGTGGGGCTGGGGCTTTGGACGGCCCCAGCCAAAGGACGACTCGACCCTGGGGCCCTGCTGTAGTTGTAGTGGGGAGGGGTTGCCTAGGCCCCGTTTTGTCCCACTTATGTTTTTGTACCTCGGTGCGGGGCTTGCAATTCCTCAGAGTGGGGTTTTCCTTCCCCCCCCCCCGTGTTGGTTTCGGGTCTACCCCTTCCCGGTTCGGTTCCGTGTCCCTTCAGGTCCGTCAGTTCCGTCATTTCTGGGGGTGCTGTTTTCCCCTTTCCTCTCCTTTTCGCGATTACATTGCGTAAATGTTCCCTTCGTATCGGGATCCCTGTGTCCCTTGGTCAGGGGTCTCTTTGGGCCATATGTGCCTCCGTGCATTTGCACTGGCTTCTCGCGGTTCTTGTTGGTTCGAGGAACTCTTCGATACTTCCAATATTATTGGAACGTCTGTTGACTTCCAGTGAGGCTTCCCTCTAGTCCTTTCTCAGACTCGTTGGTCCTCTTCCGTACTTTTTGTCTTCTTTTGATTCTGTTTTCCCATTATTTAGTCTTCACATTGTCTCTCCTTCCTGTCTCGCCGTTCCTATTATTCGTTTCATATGCCTTGCTGTCTCCTTCCCCGGAAGATGGGTGTGCGGTTCAGTCCTCAGGCGCGGGGGCTGGGGGGTTTGTTTTGTTTTGGGCAGTGTACACATGTGTTGGTGTTCTGCATCCTTTCTCGCGGATTCTATGCCGTTCGCGCTCCTCTTATCTCCAGTCATAACCCCCTGGATACTCAGGGGTGTTCTGGATTTTATGTGTGGAGCGATCTTCTAGTTCTTTTCTCGGCTTGCAGGTGTGGGGTGGCTCTGAGAGGTGCCTCCTTTGCCTCTGTCCTGCATGTATCTTGTCTTCTCCTACTGGGCACGCACCTCTGGACATTCTCCACTGGGGTGCTCCTGTTACATTACATGACTCAGTTGTTTTGTGATACGATAGTGTCTCTGTTCTGCAGGCGAGATTGTACTATCTGGTGACTGTCGGCCAGCTGTTGGTTCTCGCTTTTTGGTGGGGTGTTGTGTGTTTTGCTTGGACACTTTGCCTTACAGTGCCTTTACCTTGTTCGTGTATCTTGTTCTTAGTTGTACTGTGGGACACAGCCCCGAATTTCGGTGCTTTTTGTTTAGTTTTCGGCGCCTGGGTTTTTTCTCGATATTTGGACACTCCTTCATTCCCTCGGACCATGCTTTCTGTGTCCTCATTCATTGACTCGGTCTCTGATCTCTGGAGGAGGGGGGTGCGCAGACGATGGTGTGGCAACATGATGACATCATACTAATTTGATAATTTTGTTTGGGAAGTTCTGTCCACTCGTTCGGCTTTCGGTAGCAATATTTTCACCAGAATAGGGGTTTGTTTTGGGGCGCCTACCTTTCTGGGTGCTTATCCCAGTCGATGGCATACATAGAATGCTTCCAACCACAGGGGGGGGGGGGTTCTATAGGCCATTGCTCCTCATGCCTCTCTGAGGGGGCCAGGTTCTGGCTCATGGTCCCCGGTAGGCAAGAACTCCAAGCACTTTGACTGATGCCAGATACATATCCATCCGGGACTCCAGAAAATGGAGCTTCGTTACATTTTTTTTAAGTTAAAATATTCAACTCAGTAAAGAAGTTGGATATTTATTTAGTTATTGTTTCAGGTGAGCCCTGGGTTGCGTGTGCCGCAAAGAGTGATTAGCATGCCACTTTTGGCATGCATGCCAAAGGATGGCCACCCCTGATCTAGGGAAACCTCACTAACCCTAGCAGGAAGCTTATAGGATTATCAAGGTTCCCTTAGGCCAAAGACTGACTTTTCCCAAAATGCAACTTACAGCAATTGACTACCTCCCCGATACCTATTTACTGCTAGATGAACTGAACCATTGGGTGAGAGGAAACATGCTCATCTCTGTTCTACTGTGGGAATTAAACCCGGGACCATCATTTGTTGGAAACCGCATTTAACTACTTCATTATTTCTAATTCATGCTGCAATATTCTAAATCCCACACGCCACAACTCTTGCTACATATGACCACTCCTTTGTGTCACATGATTGAACTCTTACCTGCCATAGGCAAAACGTCGATCCTTGTCATGGTCGCCAAAGGTGTCCCACAACCGGAGGGAGACATTCACACCGTCAACTACCACACACGATCTCTCCAAAACCTGAAATGTGAAACTTTATATCATCATGATTTTCCAGTAATTAGAAACATAAACTTGCAACTGATGATTACAAGACAAATTTCTGTTTTGCTTAAAAATAGCAGCCTATGAGTGAAGTATTGTAGACAGGAAGATCTTGATTTTCTTTACGTAATATCTTGGAACATGATGAGTATTATACTACCACTGGAAATAATAATGTAATAAGAGATCAAATGAACATTAAAATCAAAGTAAACTGAGAAATATCATGAGTCATATCTGTGTTGACAGATATGACTCATGAGAAACCCATGGTTTAATCAGAGATGTAGGCTAGCTAAGCAGCAAAGTAAAAGGGCGCGGAGAAACTATAGGAATAACAGGACATTGGAGAGCAGAGAAAGATACCAGAATGCCAGGAATGAATATGTCAGGTTGAGAAGAGAGGCAGAGAGACAATTCGAAAATGACATCGCAAGCAAGGCAAGGTACAGACATATCTGTAGTCTGTACTGACCTCTTTGTATATCCTGTACTGGTCGATGGCGAAGACTGTTGGCACATGTGTGTTGAGCAGCTGGGAGAGAGAGAACTTCTTGTTGCAGGCACGAGCACAGATGAGTCGGGTCTTGCCCACAGCTGTGTCGCCCACAACTACACATTTCACCAACTCCTGATGCGGCTGTTCACTATCCATGATCGATACCCATTATCCTTGGCATGCCTGCAACAATGTTAATGTTGTTAATTACATCATAGCCTTCAGTGCTGGATATGCAGCGTGTTTGTAAACACAAAACTTGTTGGTAAATACAGTATTATTCTTATAAACTTTTCAACAAGCATAACTTCAATGTATTGTTAAATATATGAAATCTAGTAACAGATTCTATACCTAAGGCAGATAATGCCAACCATACAATAGCAATGGGCCTAATTAGTATATATAGAGTAATAGTGTGTGGTCTCCTATGGTGTACAGTGAAGTAACTTTGGCCACTGGAAGATATTTTATACAATTAACAACTCCATGTGTTATAGAAGATAATTTTTTTTTTGCAGGGATATTCTTGTGCGGGCCCTAAGCCTCTGGCTGGCCCACTAGAGAATGTGCTGTATACGAAGATGGGACTTTTACCTCATAAGTGTGTAGTTAGCAAAGGAAATGACATGGTTCCACATTAAATATAAGATACCAATGGAGACATCAATGCTTTCCACAAAAGAATCCAAGAAAGTTATACAGTATTCCAAACTGGCTAGACAGAGATCTAAGGCCTTCTTGAGGTTATCTTGAGATGATTTCGGGGCTTTAGTGTCCCCGCGGCCCGGTCCTTGACCAGGCCTCCACCCCCAGGAAGCAGCCCGTGACAGCTGACTAACAACCAGGTACCTATTTTACTGCTAGGTAACAGGGGCATAGGGTGAAAGAAACTCTGCCCATTGTTTCTTGCCGGCGCCTGGGATCGAACCCAGGACCACAGGATCACAAGTCCAGCGTGCTGTCCGCTCGGCCGACCGGCTCCCTAAAGCTAAACTCTGAACTCGGCCTAAAGCCGACTCTGCAGTAGTTTTTCAAAAAGTTATTGAAACTGTACTTGGAATATTTGGATGGCTAAATGCAAATTAAGATCACCCCTCAATCACCTTCCCTAACCAAGTTAAGAATCTTTCGCATAATTTACAAGCTGAGTGCTGCCTAATCTCATATATCCCACATTTTATTATGTGACAATTACCCAAATTAATTCAACTCTACTAGCAGTGCATTACTCATTGTGGTTATATTGTGTAGGCAGGTCTGCCAGGTATAACAGTCATTTAAGATTTATATTCATTCCAGTAGCTTAGCATCATCTACAAGATGATGTGGTTACTCTCTATTACTCCCTCATCTATCCATACCTCAACTATGGTATTTGTGCTTGGGGTTCTACTACCCAAAATCATTTACGTCCTCTCATTACCCAACACAAAGCTGCTATTAGGACAATAACCAACTCTGGCCCCAGACATCACTCGGTACCCTTACTCAAATCTCTGAATATGTTAGATATTAAGTCACTGCACATTCTCTCTTGTGTATTGTACATATATAAAACGCTGAACTGTAATGCCAATCCTGACCTCAAAAGCTTCATTGAAGGTTGTAACAGAACCCATGAGCACCACAGCAGGAATAAATACAGTTTTGATATTCCTAGAGTACGACTTAATCAAACTAGAAATGCTCTACAAATCAAGGGACCCAGAATGTGGAATGACCTTCCCAACCATGTTAAAGACTGTACCTCTCTCAACCAGTTTAAGATAAAAACTAAACAATACCTAATAAATTCCCTGTAACCTACCTCACTCCTCTATTGTCAACCCATGTCTGTTATTTTATGTTATTATTATTATTATTTTTTTTTTTAATCAACACTGTTTGTCAACCTATTGTATTTGTGCTGCTTTTTCAGTCATGTTCCCCCTTTTTTTTATCTTTATTTGTATTTGTTTTCAACACTTTTTATTCTTTATGCTCAATTAGTATTAAGTTCTAGATATTAATGTTTTTCTTGCCCGAAACGCATTGCGTAATAGTGGCTTTAGGCATTGTATGTACTAGCTCTATCTATTATCAATCCATTAATGTAACATCACTTGTATGTATGTACCTTACCTGAATAAACATATTTATATTTATATTTATTTATATTTATTTAAGAACGCTCATACATATCTGTATTCCTTCAGCTGCATCATTTTCATGACCTCATCTTCAGAAAGACATAGCTGCTCTGGAGAAGGTGCAACACCGGACAACACAAATCATTTAAGAACTAAGTCAACTCTCATACTAGGAACGGTTGGGAGCCACAGGGCTAACAGCACTATAGACCATGCATGACAGGGTGGATCACGTAGGAAACTGTAAAATATTGAACAATTTGGAGGCAGTTGATCCGGAACATTTCTTCAAAAGGTCAGATGTAACAGAAACAAGGAGCAATAGTTTCAAGCTCAACAAGCCACAATGTAGGAGTGAAAACAGGAGATGCTTTTTCACCCACAGGGTTATAAACCCATGGAACCGCCTACCCGTCGATCCCGTAACTGCCAAACTCAAATTTCAAAATCCCGCTGGAAAATCAGGGCAAGTGGGAGGGGGGGGGGGACCTTTGACAAGCCGTTGGCTTTCTGTCCTCATCGAAGCCACTAGAGTGTTAGTGGCCCTCAGGTAAATTCTGGTAATTGGAATTTTCCATATGACTGCTACTATTAACATGTTTCAATACCTTATCAGGATCCAAACTTTCAGTGTCAAAGTTAGGACAATTATGCTGTGGATGTGGATGGTGTGGATGCTGTGGATGATGTGAGATGTGGATGATGTGGATGTGGATGCTGTTCATGATGTGGATGCTGTGGATGTGGATGATGTGGATGCTGTGGATGACCAATAACAGCCAATTATACTCATCAGTCCTAGAAAGCGTCAATATTGTGTTGATTTAAATGTCCCTAAACCACCGCAATGTTAACGTTGGGGGTGAAGAGCGTACAGCTGTAGGTGTGTTGAGGAAGAGGAGAGGCTCCCCAGGTAACCCAGAGAAGCAGGTACAGGCCAAGCCAGGCGAAACACGGTGGCAGGAGGCTAAGATTATAACTACGGTCACCTGAACTGATCACACCAATACCTTTCCTTAAGCACATGATGAATAAAACAAATTAAAAGTGAGAAAAATGTTGAAGTCATTGACGAATTATATATTAAGTTAAAAGGTAACTCGGATCCGGATTCTTAAAGCAGTTACGCAAGCACTTACGAACGTGTACATCTTGCGTCAAACTTTGACGGCTTTGGTTGCATTGTTTAAACAGTTTACAAGCATGAAAACTTGCATCTGGTTAGGCAAAACCCCTGTATTTTGTACGGAGTGGTGACGGAGAGACCGGATTATGTCTCACACACACACACAAGGGGAAAGACGGCCCAAGACATGATGAATACATCACGCAGAAGTGCAAGGACGCAGCAAACAAGTTTGTCCCAGTCCAAAAGGAAAACAGTGAAATGAAGATGAGAAACCCAGGATTTAATCAGAGATGTAGGCTAGCTAAGCAGCAAAGTAAAAGGGCGCGGAGAAACTATAGGAATAACAGGACACTGGAGAGCGGAGAAAGATACCAGAGTGCCAGGAATGAATATGTCAGGATAAGAAGAGAGGCAGAAAGACAATACGAAAATGACATCGCAAGCAAGGCAAAGACTCAGCCTAAATTGCTGCACAGCCATATCAGGAGAAAAACAACAGTAAAGGAACAGGTTAGGAAATTAAGGATAGGGGGCGGAAGGATTTACTACAAACGACAAGGAAGTGTGTGAGGAACTGAATAAGAAATTCCAGGTCTTCACCTTAGAGCAAGGAGAAATTCCAGAGATAAGAGAGGGAATAGCTAACCAGGAACCACTGGAAGAGTTTGAGATTACCAGCGGGGAAGTAAGGAAGTGTTTATTAGAGTTGGATGTGACACAGGCTATAGGCCCAGATGGAATCTCCCCTTGGATACTAAAGGAAGGAGCAGAAGAACTGTGCCTGCCACTCTCCATAGTGTATAACAAATCACTGGTAACAGGGGAACTGCCAGAAATTTGGAAAGCAGCTAACGTAGTCCCGATATACAAGGGGATAGACAGGAGGCACTGAACTACAGGCCAGTGTCCCTAACCTGCATACCATGCAAGCTGATGGAGAAGATTGTGCGAAGAAAGCTAGTGGAAAATCTGGAGCGAAGGAACTTTGTAACACAGCATCAACATGGGTTCAGGGATGACAAGTCCTGCCTTACAGGGTTACTTGAATTCTACTACCAGGCAACAAAAATCAGGCAAGAAAGAGAAGGGTGGGCAGACTGCATATTTTTGGATTGTCAGAAAGCCTTTGACACAGTACCACCCAAGAGACTAGTGAAAAAGCTGGAGATGCAGGCTGGAGTGAAGGGGAAGGTACTCCGTTGGATAAAGGAGTACCTAAGCAACAGGAGACAACGAGTCAGTTTGAAGGGTGAGGTCTTAGATTGGCGAGACGTTACAAGTGGAGTCCCGCAAGGGTCAGTCCTTGGACCTATACTGTTTCTGATATATGTAAATGATCTCCCAGAGGGTATAGACTCGTTTCTCTCAATGTTTGTTGATGATGCAAAAATTATGAGAAGGATTGAAACAGAGGATGATAGTAGGAGGCTACAAGATGACCTAGACAGACTGAGTGAATGGTCCAACAAATGACTGTTGAAGTTCAACCCGAGTAAATGCAAAGTAATGAAACTAGGTGGTGGAAACAGGAGGCCAGACACAGGATACAGAATAGGAGATGAAGTACTTAATGAAACAGACAGAGAGAAAGATCTAGGAGTTGATATCACACCAAACCTGTCTCCTGAAGCCCTGACATAAAAAGAATAACATCTGCGGCCTATGCGAGGCTGGCTAACATCAGAACAGCCTTCAGGAACCTGTGTAAGGAATCATTCAGAATCTTGTACACCACATATGTAAGACCAATCCTGGAGTATGCGGCCCCACCATGGAGCCCGTACCTTGCCAAGCACAAGACGAAGCAGGAAAAAGTTCAAAGGTATGCCACTAGACTAGTCCCAGAACTAAGAGGCATGAGTTACGAGGAAATCTGCGGGAAATGCACCTTACGACACTGGACGACAGAAGAGTAAGGGGAGATATGATCACAACCTACAAAATCCTCAGGGGAATC